AAAAAAAAAAAAAAAAAAAAAAAACGTTAAACAATTGATAATAATTAACATCAGTTCTATGGGCAACCTGGGAATCTTTTACTTTTTCATAGAATAGATAAGGAACTTTTTTTACCCTTTGTATTTTTTAAGGAATGACTGCATTTCTTTTTCTTTCTTTCTTTTTTTTTTGGCATTTCTCTATTTCTGTTTTAGGTGTGTGATCCTGTAAAATTAAGTCTTCCAAGATGATCTGGTGTATATTAATTGTAGGAATTCTGCTTCCCCAGTCTTTGGCTCATCCAGGCTTTTTTACTTCAATTGGTAAGTCTTACTATTTGTTGGTTTGTGTTGGTTTTGCATTTTTTAATTTCCATTTTTTAGTGTTTTAAAATCAGCAAAAACAAATATAATGTATTCCCAGAGTATAGGTTTCCTCCCTGCCTCTCTAAAAGGTCCTTTTAAAATAATTTTATTAAAAAAATTTTTTTTGTTACAAAAATGATACATATTCAGTGTAGAAACTTAAAAATTTAGAAATGCATGTCAAAGGAAGTTACCCATTAATGAGTCTATTAAGCAAATAATGCATATACTTAGTCTTTTTCAGTGCACAGATACACAAGTAATATACTGTATATATATCTAGTCTGCTTTTTCCATTTAAGATTCTACTGTGAACTAAAGGGGTTTTTTGTATCATAATTTAAAAAAAGAAGCTTATCATTATTATTTTTAATAGAGGGTCTCACCATGTTGCCCAGGCTGGTCTTCAACTCCTGGCCTCAAGGGACTCTCCTGCCTTGGCCTCCCAGAGTGCTGGTATTACAATAGGCATGAGCCACAGTGCCTGGCCCATAAGTATTACATATTTATGACTCTTGATTCCAGTATATAAAATGATGGGTTCTTGCATCGTATTATAAATAATGGATTATTTGAAACTTTTTTTAGTGTGGTTTTTGTTTATTAAATAAAAATTTAATGCTAATTAGTCTCAAAAACAAACGTAAAGGGGAGGTGGTGAAGAAACAGTCTTTGGAAAGTAGTGTTGATTTGCAATTTAAAAATACATTTGTATTTTTACACGGTAAGGACAATTTGCCAGTACAGTGTAAAGCTTGCAAAATTAAATGCCTTGAAAATTAGAACTGAAACACTTGATTAGAAAAGTTTTTGACTTTATTTTGGTTTATCTGGTGAAAAAAAGATCGTCTTCAGCATAGCTGATTCATGCCAGTTAAATTGTCTCATAGAATGGAACAGTCTCAATCATTCTTATTCTTAACATACTTGTGTTGAAGGATAAGAGTATTTGATAACCTTCTTCCCCTTCTAGGTCAGATGACTGATTTGATCCATACTGAGAAAGACCTGGTAACTTCTCTGAAAGATTATATTAAAGCAGAAGAGGACAAGTTAGAACAAATAAAAAAGTAAGCAAAATATTTACTTATTATGACTCTGACTCAACCTGGATGTTTTCTTTCTCAAGCTAAAATATTCTTTAAGTAGAAATGAAACCCATTTTTGAGTCTTACAAAGCCAGTTGAAATGGCTAAAATAGGTGTATAGAGAACAAGTTAGAGTTGGGCCAACTTTCACATGGAAGAACATGGGTTGAGATAAGAATATGGCTAGATATTGGCCGGGTACAGTGGCTCATGCCTGTAATCCCAGCACTTTGGGAGGCCGAGGCAGGTGGATCACTTGAGGCCAGGAGTTCGAGACCAGCCTGGCCAACATGGTGAAACCCTGTCTCTACTAAAAATACAAAATTAGCTGGGTATGGTAGCATGTGCCTGTAATTCCAGCTGCTTGGGAGGCTGAGGAAGGAGAATCGCTTGAACCCAGGAGGTGGAGGCTATAGTGAGCCAAGATTGCACCACTGCACTCCAGCCTGGGCGACAGAGCAAGACTATCTCAAAAAAAAAAACGAATATGGTTGGATATGGGAAGTTGACTGATAAATTTTAAAAATATTGCTAATACGTTTTATGCTTCTCCTAACCTCTTAGTCAAGCCACCTCCTGCAGCAGTTTTCCAATTCTATTTATCCTTGACTCCCTGGTTCCCTTGTAGACATTATAGTGATAAATATGATTAGTGTTATTTAATTGATAGAGTTTTTGTCTAATATGAATTTATTTTTAATTGACTCATGTTCATAGTTAATCCTGACCTGAGAATTCCTGTCTTTTATTTAATGAGTAGCTAAGTATTCAGTTTTTTTGTTTTAAGATATAGTTTTTAGATACTGGATGTAAAAGTTTAGTATAAGTTAATGTAAATGAACATGTAATTGAATTTGGGTTGGGCTAATTGGTAGTTTGTAATAATCAGTTATTTGGCCCTAGGACCTATGGGGAAATGAATTTTTTTTTTTTTTTTTTTTGAGACGGAGTTTCGCTCTTGTTACCCAGGCTGGAGTACAATGGCGCGATCTCGGCTCACCGCAACCTCCGCCTCCTGGGTTCAGGCAATTCTCCTGCCTCAGCCTCCTGAGTAGCTGGGATTACAGGCACGCACCACCATGCCCAGCTAATTTTTTGTAGCTTTAGTAGAGACGGGGTTTCACCATGTTGACCAGGATGGTCTCGATCTCTTGACCTTGTGATCCACCCGCCTCGGCCTCCCAAAGTGCTGGGATTACAGGCTTGAGCCACCGCGCCCGGCCTCGTGGAAATGAATTTTTAACTTTTACTAGAGGGATTCATTCACAACTTTTACTAAGATAGGGAGGTTCCATTTATTATAATCATTGGGAGAAACAAATTTAAAACAAAAAGTCCTATAGTTGTATTTTGATTCTGCCAAGAGTCTTGCTTTTTAAAAAAGACCTTATAATTTTACTTTAAAAAGAAACTACAGGTATAGTTTAACTCAAAAACTTCTAGGCATTTTCTTTTTTCTGAGCATTTCACTAAATTGTGTTTTTCCTTATGAAATATACGTATTCTCAGTTTTTATGTTTTACACCTGTAGATGGGCAGAGAAGTTAGATCGGCTAACTAGTACAGCGACAAAAGATCCAGAAGGATTTGTTGGGCATCCAGTAAATGCATTCAAATTAATGAAACGTCTGAATACTGAATGGAGTGAGTTGGAGAATCTGGTCCTTAAGGATATGTCAGATGGTAAGTCTGAAAGAGATTCCTGAGTAAGGCAATATTGCCACCATCTGTAGAAATAATAAAATTAGTGATAAATTCAGTTCCCAGGAAATCAAGTGTTCAGTGTTATAACTGGATTATGCCTGGGTGCATTTGGTTTGAATAGAGTTAATTTAGTCAAAATCATGAATTCTTTGATTAAAAAAGTAATTTTTTTTTCTTTGAGATGGAGTCTGGCTCTGTCACCGGGCTGGAGTGCAGTGGCACAATCTCAGCTCACCGCAAACTCTGCCTCCCGGGTTTAAGTGATTCTCCTGCCGCAGCCTCCCCAGTAGCTGGGACTACAGTCACGCGCCACCAAGCCCAGCTAATTTTTGTATTTTTAGTAGAGACGAGGTTTCACCATGTTGGACAGGATGGTCTCGATCTCTTGACCTCGTGATCCACCTGCCTTGGCCTCCCAAAGTGCTGGGATTACAGGCGCGAGCCACTATGCCCAGCCAAAAGAAGTAATTTCTTTTACTGTTGACTTTTGTTTTGAAATCTGCAAAAGTGAATAGATTATTTGGCATATAACTTCATTTCTGAGGGTAATCCTTTTTATTTTAGGATTATCTTCAAACTTTAAAAATTTATATCTTTATCTACAATCAATTTAAAAACTGTTGGGAGTGTTACTGTAAAGAGAAGCATTAGCTGTGTTCTATCTGGTATTTTGAAGTTTAGAATTAGTTTACTCAATGTAGACAATAAATCAAACTGAGACTGCAAACAGTAGTAATGAATAAGTGATACAAATACAGTTGTAGTTGGAGTGTTGAAATGTTTTAGATACTTTAGTAACAGATGTAGAAGACTAAATCTGGACTTTAGTAAGGAGGTTAAGGGATAATTATGTCCCCCTCCAAAAGAGAGAGAGATGGAAAAGAGCTGAGCTAGTTACGTAAGATACTACAAGGGTAAGTACTTTCTGTAAGCAGTGAAGTAAACTATTAGTCAAAGGTCAGGAAGCCTTGAAAAGAAAATATGGCAAGTACTTGTGAATACTTCTTTACTATGAGAGGTAACTGCCTGTGATTATTTTCTGTACTATATAACACCTTGGGAACTTTTTTTTTTTTTTTGGAGACAGGGTCTCACTGTTGCCCAGGCTGATTGTACAGTGGCACAATCATGGCTCATTGCAGCTTTGAACTCCTGGGCTCAAGCAATCCTCCCACCTTAGCCTTCTCAGTAGCTGGCACTACAGGCATGGACCACCATGCTGGGCCAATTTTTAAATTTTTCTTTTGTAGAAACAAGGTCTTGGTCTTGCTATGTTGCCCAGGCTGATAGCGAATTCTTGGCTTCATGCAATCCTTCTGCCTCAGCCTCCCACAGTGTTTGGGTTTACAGGCATGAGCCACGGATCCTGGCCCTGAACATGTTTTTAAGGAAATCCATATATTTATTCTCAAGTGATGAACTAAATTGTTTTATAATGTGAATTGGGACTTTGTTGTTTTAATCTGTAGTAGTCATTCTATAATGCTATGAGAGAAAATATATATAAATTTATTTTTCTTAGAATTTTGTTTGTAGCATAATAAATATTATAGCCTTCTATAAAACTTGTAAAACTTGCTTGTAAAATTCCATGTAGAGATTGTGACTGGGAATTGGTCGTAAAACTAAAAAATATTGTTGGAAACAGAGCAGGTCAAAACCCCTCTGATCTAATAATGGAATTATACCAGTAAAAAGCCACTGCTCTTCAGCCTGGGCAACACAGTAAGACTGTCTCTAAAAAAAGACAAAACAGCATAAAAATACACTTGATATAAACTCTAGCCCTCTTCCAGTTAGTTGTTCATTTGTACATTTTCATTAACATAATAATGCCTGGTCTCAGCCGGGCGCCGTGGCTCACACCTGTAATCCTAGCAGTCTGGGAGTCTTAGGCAAGCAGATCACTTGAGATCAGGAGTTTGAAAGGCTTAACATGGTGAAACCCTGTCTCTACTGAAAGTACAAAAGTTAGCTGATTGTGGTGGCAGGCACCTGTAATCCCAGCTACTCAGGGGGCTGAGGCAGGAGAATTGTTTAAACCCAGGAGGTAGAGGTTGCTGTGAGCTGAGATTGTGCAGCTGCACTCCAGCCTGGGTGACAGAGTGAGTCACCATCTCAAAAAAAAAAAAAGAACCTGATCTCTTGCTGTTCAAAATACATAGTAGGCTGGATGCAGTGGCTCACACCTATAATCTCAGCACTTTGGAAGGCCAAGGCGATCAGATCAGTTGAGGTTAGGAGTAGGAGACCAGCCTGGCCAACATGGTGAAACCCCGTCTCTACTAAAAATACAAAAATTAGCTAGGGGTGGTGCACGCCTGTAATCCCAGCTACTTGGAAGGCTGAGGCATGATAATTGCTTGAACTTGGGAGGTGGAGGTTGCAGGAAGATGAGATTGTGCTACTGCACTCCAGCCTGGGTGACAGAGTGAGACTCTGTCTCAAAAAAAACCCCCCAAAAAACATATAGTTGATTATAAGTTAATGAGAAGAGAGGGAAATCTCATACCTAATTTTTATTCACAAATAATGATGCCTATATTAAAATTTTAAACCACTTTTTTTGTTTCTTAAGGAGTATTTAGCATCCATGCTCCTTGGGGTTATATGGTTATCAATAATTGGTTTGTTAGTTTGATTTTTGCTATACTTTATATAAATCCTCTTTAAATTAAGATTAGGTTTTATATATTGTAAATTTTGATTGATCAATACCATGTTTGATAATTAAACTGATCTAAATATATTTTAATAAACTAGCTTAGCTGTTGATCTTAAGTGTATAATTAATATCTCTTCCTTCCCCTTGAAGAATTCCACCAAACTTTACATATTTACATATTTATATAATGTGTAATCACGGAAGAAGAAAACAGAACTTTAAGAGCACACATTTTACTTACCATCTGTTTTCTGGAAGTATAATTGATTGTCAGTGAATGTCATTTTCAGATCCATAAATGTGTTCATTTCCCAAACTTAGTGGATGCACTTTTATTTTCTTGCCATATTAACTGAAAACTCATAACTATTAGGTTAGGTGATCTTTACCTGCTAATATAATAATTTATATAACAACATCACATTACAGTACTTAAACAACACTAGGCTTTTGGAAGATTGAACAAGTTAGAAGTATGCCAAGTCTCATTCAATGTACTTAATTTTTTCTTGTTGAATATGTGGAACTTTTCATGGTATGGTAGAAAATAGTAAAATAGATTTTGAAAAATCCTTAGTAAGTCTCTTTATGGGAAGTTTATGAGGTTCTACAGCCTTTTTTTTTTTTTTTTTTTTTTTATCTTTTTCAAGTTTTTATTTCTAACCTAACCATTCAGAGACAGTACTTTCCTAATGATGAAGATCAGGTTGGGGCAGCCAAAGCTCTATTACGTCTCCAGGATACCTACAATTTGGATACAGATACCATCTCAAAGGGTAATCTTCCAGGTAAGATTATTCTTCCAGTCTATAAAATACCTATCACCTAACTTCTCTTTTGAGTCCATTAAGACAATGGTAGTGTAAAAAAGACATCTGCATTTTAAGATTTTAAATTGTAATTTGTTTCATAGCCTTTGAGGACAAAAGAATCACTTTCCCTTTGTCTTAGGGCTTAATAGTTGTGGGTATGCTTCTAGCTTGTTACTCTGAAAGCTTGTATTGATAGAGACTAACTTAAGTAGGTAATTTTAGTGTGTAAGAAAAAGAAATTATCATTTTACCAACCAGGGAGGAGGTTGTTGCTAATATTTAAGTCAGAGGTGATAGTGGATAGACTATCAAGCTACTTATTGGAGTAGAATAGTAGAATTTGATGATGTACCTCATAGAGATTTCTGGCTTGATCAACCAGATAAGTTCCATTTAACAAAATAGGGCTGGGCATGGTGGCTCATACCTGTAATCCCAGCACTTTGGGAGGCTAAGGGTGGGAAAGATTACTTGAGGCTAGGAGTTCAAGACCAGCCTGGGCAGCATAGCAAGTCCCCGACTCTACAAAAAAATTAAAACTTAGTTGGGTGTGGCGGTGCATGCCTGTAGTCCTAGCTGTTTGGGAGGCTGAGGTGGGATGTATTAGTCCATTCATACACTGTTATGAAGGAATACCCAAGACTGGGTAATTTATTAAAAAAAAAAAGAGGTTTAATTGACTCACATTTCCACATGGCTAGGGAGGTCTCAGGAAACTCACAATCATGGCGGAAGGCACTTCTTCACAGGGTGGCAGAAGAGGGAATGAGTGTCAGCAGGGGAAATGCCAGACGCTTATAAAGCCATCCGATCTTGTGAGAACTCACTCACTATCACAAGAACAGCATGGGGAGAAACTGCCCCCAGGATTCAGTTATCTCTACCTGTCCCGCCCTTGACATGTGACAATAAAGGACTCTTTTTAGTGTTAGTTTACTTTCATTTTGGTTTATTATATTCAATTTGATATGTTCATGTCAGTCATCATACCTCTTCCTTTGAAACAAAGGAATTTACAACTTATTTTTGTTTCTTATCAAATTTGGTTTGCTTTTTGTATGAATCTTTTTATAGTCTCTTTCTGCTCATATCACTTTCCTTATTTCCTTTTCTTCTTTGTTTTCTTGCCTATTTACTTTTTCTTATCCTGTTCTCTACTTTGGGAACAGTTTTCCTTTTCAAATGCTGCATCACTTTTCATTCATTTTAAAAATCAGATTCCCAGGCAGTCTGCCTTTAGTATTGTTAAAGGTCAATAGGTAAGACAAGCAGAAATACTTTACCAAAGCAGAATAGCTAAAGATTATCTACTGTCTCTGCCATGCTTGTTCAAATAATGTTGCCAGAATATCAGGTCATGTAAAAAAATATTACTGTTGCTACCTACATGTATCAATGGCATACTGTCATCTTACGTGTTTTGCATGCCACTGAGAGAAACATTTATAATTGCTGCATTATGAGCTCATCCTCAGTTTACTAGTTCTCATAACTGAAAACTAATAGCATTGTCAAAATTTAATATTCATCTTTAGTTTCTGGAACTAAGTCATGTTAAACTATTAAGAAGTTAGTTTCTTAGCATCTGCTATGGTTCGAATGTGTCCTTCCAAAATTCAGGTGGCGAAACTTAATGGCCAGTGTGATGGTATTAAGAGATGGGCCCTACACAAATGGGATTTAAGACCCTTATGAAAGCGGTTTTATGCAGCCTCTAGCTCTCTTGCCCTTCCACTTCACCATATGAGGACATAGCATTCTTCTTCCTCTCTGGAGGATGTAGCAACAAGGTACCATCTCGGAAGAGGAGAGCAGCCCTCACTAGACAATTGAACCTGCTAGTGCTTTGATCTTGGACTACCCAGCCTCTAGAACTGTGAGAAAGTAAATTTGTTTTTTTTATAAATTATCCAGTCCTCTGATATTTTGTTACGGGAGCACAAATGCACGAAGACAGTATGCTTTCCTAGAGTGGAAGGGGAGACAGAGAATTATTTAAGGGAAAAAACACGGATCTTCCTCTTCATTTTAGGAGAATACTGATAATTACTGTCTGTAAGTGACTAACAGAAGGCCAGAAAAAAAAAATAGTGAATGGAGGTGATTGTATGTTTTGAATATTTGATAAAATGGGTCATGTGATCCTCTAGTGCATACATCTACAAGCCTGGACTCTGTTTGATCCTGGAATTCCACAGCTCATTGTCAGACCAGCTTATGCTTTCCCGTGGTCTGCAACTGTCTAATCACTAGCAAAACATGCCCATAACTTTACATCCTTTCATTTCTCATGAATTCCTTTTCTGTTAGCATCTTTTGAAAAAACTTATGTTACCACCATTGGATAGGTTATACCTAAGTCTGGTTCTGGCCATTTTAGTGACTCTTTGAAGTGTATTCAATCAAAATGTATTAAAGAAACCACCATTGTGTTTGTTTCTCCACCAGTTTCCTTTGTGGTATTATCAGACACTTAAGTAAATAAATACGATGTGATCTGTTTTATCAGAGAAAATGTAGGCTAGTCTGTCTTTGACTAGTAGTTTCTTTTAAAAACTTTACTCTTCTGGAATCATGACTACTAGTGTAATATTGATTTACTCTCAGAACTGTATATTCAGAGAGAAATGTTGTTGACATTTCTTGTCTAGGCTTGTTATTTTTTCACATACCTGTCATTTTTTTTTGATAGTGTCAGAAAGGGAACTATATGATTTTCTGTATGATAGCATAAAAAGAGCCCTGTAGGACATGACTTTCTCCTTTTTGTTATTTATAAAAACTTCTTTTATTATGGAAAATATCAAATATCATGCATACACAAAAATAAAGGTAATATACTGATCCTATGCCATCATCAAGCTCCAAACGGTTTTAAACATTTTGTCATTCTTGGTTTATCTACTCCTTTTTTGTTGGAGTTTTTTTTTTTTTTTGAGACGGAGTCTTGCTCTTTTTCCCAGGCTGGAGTGCAGTGGTGCAGTCTTGGCTCACTGCAACTTCTGCCTCCTGGGTTCAAGCAACTCTCCTGCCTTACCCTCCCGAGTAGCTGAGATTATAGGCATGCACCACCACACCCAGCTAATTTTTTTTTTTTTTTTTGTATTTTTAGCAGAGATGGGGTTTCACCATGTTGGCCAGGATAGTCTCAATCTCTTGACCTCATGATCCCCCCGCCTCGGCCTCCCAAAGTGCTGGGATTTACAGGCGTGAGCCACTGTGCCTGGACTTGTCGAAGTATTTTAAAAGCAAATCCTAGATATCATATCCATAAGTAATTCAACATGCATATCTAACTGATCAGGACAATTTTTTTGAGGTAAGATTTCACTCTGTCATCCAGGCTGGAATGCACTGGCATGATCATAGCTCAATGGAGCCTTGAACTTTTGGGCACAAGCCATCCTGCTGCCTTAGTCTCCTGAAGAGCTGGCTCTATAGGTGTGCCACCACACCTGGGTAATTTTTAATTTTTTTGTAGAGATGGGCTCTTGCTATGTTGCCCAGTCTGGTCTTGAACTCCTGGCCTCAAGTAGGTCTTTTTCATTCATTAATTAATTTTTTTTAGAGACAGGATCTCACTTTATTGCTGAGGCTAGAGTGCAGTGGTACCATCATAGTTCACTGCAGCCTTGAACTCTTGGGCTCAAGTGATCCTCTCGCCTTAGCGTCCCAAGTAGCTGGGACTATAGGTATAAGCCACCTGTGCCTAGCTGGTCTTTTTAAAAAAGTAACCTAACCACTTACTATCATTCTGCTTAACAAATCAACAATATTTCTGGGCGCGGTGGCTCACACCTGTAATCCCAGCACTTTGGGAGGCCGAGACGGGCAGATCACGAGGTCAAGAGATCGAGACCATCCTGGCCAACATGGTGAAACACCGTCTCTACTAAAAAATACAAAAATTAGCTGGGTGTGGTGGCATGCACCTGTAGTCCCAGCTACTTGGGAGGCTGAGGCAGGAGAATTGCTTGAACCCAGGAGGCGGAGATTGCAGTGAGCCAAGATTGTGCCACTGCACTCCAGCCTGGCACCTGGCGACAGAGCGAGACTCTGTCTCAAAAAAAAAAATTTTCCTAATATAATTTAATATCCAGTCAGTATTGTTTCTCTGGTGGTCTCAAAGTTGTCTTTATACAGTTGCATTTTTTTATTATGTCTCTTAAGTCCCTTTTATTCCCTTTTCCTTTTTTTTTTTCTCTTTACGACACTGGTTAGCTGGGGGAACCTGGTCATATGTTCTGCGGAATGTTCCACATTCTGGAGTTGTCTACTTTGGTGATTAACGTGTTCCTTTAATGCTTATGTTTCCTACAACCTGGTTAGAGCTTGAGGCTCAATTAGATTCAAGTTAAGTTTTAAAATTAACTCCATAGGTGGCGCTATGAACTTTCTGTTGAACTGCACGAACCAACACCTAATGTCTTGTCACACTTTTTATGATGCTGATTGATGAGTGGGGTTCCGGTGGTGAGAGCCTGATCACTCCATGTAAAGTTCTCCTTAAGTTTTGTCTAATGGCTTTGGCAGCCTTTGACGATCATTGCCTACAACACTATTTCACTAGGGGTTACAAAATGGTGATTTTTTTCATTCCATTATTCCTTTTACTTTTTTTAACTGGAATTCTATAAATAGGAATGTTCCATCATCAACTGTTTGGTTACCCTGAACTATATACAGGAAAGGCAAATAAGTCTATAATTAGCCGCCTTTATCGATTTTCAGAGTAATAAGTAACTATTTTTAGTAGTGATCAGTAATTTTCATGACATATGAACTCATAGTTTCACTCTTGTTGCCCAGGCTGGAGTGCAATGGTACAATCTCAGCTAACTGCAACCTCCGCCTCCCAAGTTCAAGCAATTCTCCTACCTCAGCCTCCTGAGTAGGTCGGATTACAGGCATGTGCCCCCATGCCCAGCTAATTTTGTATTTTTAGTAGAGACAGGGTTTCTCCATGTTGGTCATGC